AGACCCCTCCCCTCGGGCCAGACCCCTCCAGCCTCGGGCAGACCCCTCCAGCCTCGTCGGGCCAGACCCCTGATACTCAGCCTCGGGGCCAGACCCTCCAGCTCGGGGCCAGACCCTCCAGCCTCGGGGCCAGACCCCTCCAGCCGGGCCAGACCCCTCCAGCCTCGGGCCAGACCCCTCCAGCCTCGGGCCAGACCCCTCCAGCCTCGGGGCCAGACCCCTCCAGCCTCGGGGCCAGACCCCTCCAGCCTCGGGGCCAGACCCCTCCAGCCTCGGGGCCAGACCCCTCCAGCCTCGGGGCCAGACCCCTCCAGCCTCGGGCCAGACCCTCCAGCCTCGGGCCAGACCCCTCAGCCTCGGGGCCAGACCCCTCCAGCCTCGGGCCAGACCCCTCCAGCCTCGGGCCAGACCCCTCCAGCCTCGGGGCCAGACCCCTCCAGCCTCGGGGCCAGACCCCTCCAGCCTCGGGGCCAGACCCCTCCAGCCTCGGCACTCCCTCCCTCAGGTTGTCAGCCGAGGGAAGGGTTGACTGTTAAAATGATTCTGTTTCAGTTTATACCAAGAATATGGATTCCGGGCCCTTGAGATCCGAGAAGCTCATTTTCTGGGCGGCTGATTGCTCCCGGGATTCATTCCAAAGGCGCTCAAAGGGCATCGCCGTCAGCTTCCATGTTAATCGGGTTCATGTTCGAGACTCCGCAAGATCAGGGGAGAGGTTTAAGCATCGACCTGCTTACCCCCGACTCCTCTACCCCCTCGGCTGGCTCCGGCCTCCTGCTTGTCCACGTTCCTCTCCGTTCCACCATCAGCGGCCGCGCTCTCAGCCGCTACACCCCGAATCTGGAACTCTCTCCCTCAACCCCTCTGCCGTACCCCCTCGTTCCCCATTTTCAGATCCCGCCTTAAGGCTTTCCTCATCGACGGTGCTTATGGTCACCTCGTCCCACCCCCCCACCCGGCTCAGGGTCAGGCTCCGCCACTGTTAAGTGCTCTGCGATGCCACCCTGTGTGAGAGGCGCTATATAAATGCAAGTTGTTGTTGAGATGATGAAGGCCCTTTCAGCTTGTGTGATCTCACCCTTCAAGAGTATTGACCCAACCCTTCCGCCTCGTGTCTGCCCGAGCATCGACTGTCACAAGCCTAAACGATCATCTGAAGCGTCAGGCGATTGGGACCATGACTTAACGTCTAATCCAACCTTGTTTTAATTCATAGCTTCATATAACTTCATATAAAGTGGTTAGTGCGCTCACCTTGCAAGCGCGAAGACCCCGGTCCGGTTCCCGGGCGGGGTGAACCCTTCCGCAAGTTTCTTTACTCCACGCGCCTCTGCTTACCGAGCGGTGAGGAGGAACCCGGTGTTTAAACGATTGGCGGATTGCTTTCCGGGGGTAATAATCCCTCCCCCCAAAGAAATGCAAACAGATAAATAAATAACTTGGCCGCTCAGTCCACGGCTGTTTGCGGGGACGCTGCTGTGTGCAATCGGCTGCCGCGTTTCGCCCACAAAATATACAGTCAATTCACTTTACAGCGTATCCTGTGAAGTGCTGTGAGGCATCTCAGCGTCGTGATGAGGCACTGCATCAAATGCAAGGATTATTATTGTTATTGAGGCTCAGTATAAATGTAAGAGGGTACGGTATTGTGTGCGCTGGGACACTGCTAAAAGCCAGGAGGCTTTCGACACCTGTGTGGTCTGTACGGGAAGATGGAGAGTCAGTGCCAGAGTGTAAGCCCCGGCTCCGCGGTGTGACCTCTCTGTGTGCACAAACCCTCTACATGTGGATATCTCACGGCACCGGAGTGTGTTACAGTGCCTCACTGTTCTGTGGTTATGTTGGTTTGTGTGCGTTGGCTGAATGGTTGGCTTTTGTGCAGCAGAGACACATTTGCATTGTTTTGCTTGAATTCAGGGAGTTTGTACATTTCTATATAATAATGATAATAATCCTCGCATTTGATATAGCGCTTTTCACGTCGGGAGGACGTCCCAAAGCGCTTCACAGAACACACTGTAAAGTGAATTGACTGTATATTTGTGGGCGAACGCGGCAGCCAATTGCGCACAGCAATGTCCCACAAACAGTCGTAGATTGAAAATGACCAATTTATTATTGTTTTTGTTTTGGAGGACTCCACAAATATATAGAAAGTCTGAAATGCTGAACTCTGTCCAGCGCCTCGGGACGTCCTCCCGACGTGAAAGGCGCTATACAAATGTAATCGTGTTGTTGTTGTTGTAACTCGTACCAACAACAACAAAGTACATTTATTCAGCGCTTTTCACGTTGGAAGGAATTCCCAAGGCGCCGGCCGGACAGTTTACGGTTTGCACCCAAGTAAATTATCTATCTATATAGATGTTCCTCCGGGTCCGGCCTCCTCCTCGTCCCCCGAGTCCTCCGCTCCACCCTCCGCGGCCGTGCCTTCAGCCACTGCGCCCCGAGGCTCTGGAACTGCCTTCCTCACTCCCTTCGCCTCGTTCCCTCTCTTCCTATTTTCAAGTCTCTGCTGAAGACCTTTCTTTTCGACCGCGACTTTGGTCACCTTCCTCCCCACTCCCCCCTCCTCCCCCCCCACCACGGCTCGGTCCCGGGATCCGTTACTGTAAAGCGCTCTGAGATGCCGTCCGGCGTGGAGGGCGCTATATAAATCCAAGTTGTTGTGTGTATTTATAGAGGTGTATAAGCATACAGGTACATTTACAACAACAGCAATTGACTGCGCAATTGGCTGCGTGTTTCGTCCGAAAAATACACAGTCAATTCACTTTACAGTAT